TCTAAGTTTTATTCCAACATAAACCAAATCAGTTTCCGTACTGTCGGGATTCTGCGCAGTCTAGAATTCGTGTTCCAACTAACTTCAGAAATGTTTCTATTCCACCCTTTCCACAAACATTCTTGAAATCATACTGGCATCTGTACTGCCAACTATTATAATTTACTGGGCTTGTCTAACTTAGTCTCCAATAACACTGCACCTTTGGCGCCCCTTACAGAGATTTGGGTGCCCCAGAAAAGCTTCTCTCCCTCCGCCTTTTAGCCACGCTACTCCACTGTTTGTCTTATATAAAAGTCATTAACAGAGTGTAGTCTATAGGCTCTTAATTAAACCAGTATATGTTTGGCTGTTTTTGGTTCCAGAAGACAAAGTCGATATATACTACTAGTTTATTCAGTTGTCCCTTTACTAGGGCATTCCCAGCCCAGTCATGAGTTCTGTTATTATTTTTTACTGGTTCCTATTCATAGATAGTAATTCTGTTTTTTTTTTAACATGCCCTTACTATGGAAGTTTTCCTATGTGATTGATTTTTGGGACATTCTCCCAATAATTGTTGTTTTCTACGAACACAGTCTTTTATGAAATCTGGAATTGTACTTTTTAATACTCCACAATTTATATCTTGTTTCGGTTTTTCTTCTGAACCTCTTTTTGCAAGTTCGTTAACTTTTTCATTGCTCTCTATCCCTTGCTGACCTGGCATCCTAATTAGTTTTACTCTCTCTGTAAAATGGAGAAGGATGGGTTGCCCCTAAGCATTTAGCTTACACTAAGTCCATTGGACACCCTACAGGTGTATATAGGGCTTGTCTCTAAGCTCGTTAAAAGCCTGCTGGTTAACAAGTCGCCAAAAAGTGTAGCCAGTCTCTCAGCTTGATAAAGTTCTGCAGGCTAAAAACATCGCCAAAGAGTCATTATATGCCCCATTTCTGGAAGTGGCTATTTGGGGAGCTTCTACCGACCCGATGGTAAATTCCCAAATGAAGCTATTCTGTCGGCCCCTCCACATGGGGCATATAGGACCTACCTTTCAGCTCGTCAAAAGTCTGCTGATTGATCAATCACCGAGAGGTGCCTATAGATGCCAGCCTCTTAGCTCGTCAAAATTCTATAGGCTAATAGTGTCATCGATGGGTTACTAGATTCTCCATTTCTGGAAGCGGGTATTTGGTTGACTTCCACCACTCCGATGGTAAAAGCCCGGATAGAGCTATTCTCTCCGTCGGCTCTATTAGGCGACCTTAACACCATATTGTATATCAAATATAAGATACCTGGTTACAATCCCCATTTAAGATGTTTTACCTCTCCCTTTAGTTGGACGTTTTCATTTCGTATGTTTAAAGGACCTACTTACTACCTCTAATTTTCTACTGTGCGTGTATGAAATTGTGATCGATTTATTGGGACCAATTTTTAGTCCTTCGTTTTCTATCTATTTTGTTATGTTTAGAGCCTTTTTCATACGATCTCTTACTGTAGTGTTGTGCCAAGATAACTAGATTATCGGCATAGGCAGCCCACCCATGACCAGCTTCCACAGAAGTGGAGAAAGTACTCCCTGTAGGCATCACTTGGCAACCTAGGCTGCTATCGTGTCACTCCCTTAATGGTTGCATGTATGATTCTCCCTCTTCGCATAGAGTCAATCTAGATCACACATGTGTCCTCGATTCCTCTGTTTTGAGTTCTGATGACGGAGTCAACGCAGTGTATTGTCAAACGCTCTATCATTCTTGGTTTTAAGGAGTGTTGGTCTCTGTACCAATATTCCGCATCGAATATGTCTATCTAACCATTTCCTTGCCGAGTCCTGTCGCGGTCACGCCTGGTACTACCAGATCCTGCTGAGGTCCTGGCTATAATTTGTACACATTGAGAACACTTTTAATGATGTAGGTACTTAGATGAATCAATTTTCTTAATAATAACAAATACATTTCTTATTTCAGATATCTATCGATTATTAACTAAAAGATTAGTCACATTTTTTCAAATCACTTGTAAAGATACTTGACCGGAAATGACATAAAATTCGCAAAATACGATATGATCAAACACTGGTTGTTGTTCTAAAACGATTTGTGGTTAAAAATCATGCTTGAGGCATATTGTAGGAATGTTAGATTGTTGTCCTTATCTACATTACATAACGTGGGATAAAAATAGTTATACATAGTTATAGAGTTGCACGAGCATCTATATAATTTAATCTTCACGTTGATACCAACGAAAAATTTAGTTTTACATTTTTTTATTTCAACAACAACGTCAATATATTTCGTTCAATCGCGACCATTTCTTCGAACACCATAAATGTAATTAATATTGTGCATTACACTTGCAACTCCTAATCAGTAAAAGTATTTTTAAATTTGTTTTCAATTAAGTCCATCTCAATCTGCGTAAATATAAGCTTTCTCAGAACAGAACGATTCCCTAATTCATCTCGGTAAACAACTTACAATTATGTGAAGACCCAACATGTCTATGTTTGCTGCAAATTCACAACAATCCTACTTAGTCACCGCACTTGGGTGAACCTTGGCGTTATCAACAACAAATATTTGTATATAATCAGTTATATTTTTACTTATTCAGATTATAACCTAATTGAATTCGATATACAGGGTTCACGTTAACAAACAAAATCATAAACATTTTGTAAAATTGATTTACTTCATTCAACTTTAAATATTATCAAAACAAAGATTTTTGTGTCGCTGAATTTGATACATTACGAAAAATAATCATATCATAAATGTATGATATTCTAATGTTATTGCAATTCATTTCGAATCTCTTAGTCATCAGATAACATTTAAAAATTTATGACAAAGGAAAATGTAGATTTATCATAGATAACTCTGATTGTTTTCACTACAATTGAATTCCAAACAAATTACAAAAACTAAAATGACAAATAAAAAAGGTTTAAGTAATTTTTAAAAAAGAACTATGATGTTTAAAATCTGTAATGAGATGATTCCTCGAGTATTTTATATCTGCTGGAATATATTTGATTTCATTTGACCGTTTCACCTTACAACGGCGTCTATAATTTATAATTTAGATCTTGTTATCTTGTTTGTTGTCAACGTTTGCCGTAGTAGTCGTCGTTCACTTTTATTTATCATTGACATTAAAATCATTTTCAAAAAGTTCTCAATCTCTATGTTGTTGATGAATCACTGATTGACGTGACATTTCAATTTTAATCAACTCATTTAATTCCTTTTCTTCTCATGTCATCACATAAGGGGTATTTAATGTTAAAATACTGCCATACCTTTTTAGTAACAATATGTTTACTTCAACATTTCGCAACGTAGTCGTCAAATCTGAGTGAACTTTTGTATTATTATCGGTGTTATCAATGTAAAAATAAATATTTAGCAGTATTTTTGATAGTATTACAGACATATAAGAGCGCATAAGCTTAAACCTACTAATTGGAGATCAGAAACAAAAATCGAAGGAGACTTCTACGAAAAAAAAAAAGATTCGAAAGAAAAAGTATGGAGAAAATTAATAGACGCCTGAACAAATAAGCCGGCGAAATTAACGCTGCTATTTTTAATAATTTAACGGTTTTACACCACCCTCTAAATAGTAAGAAAAAATAATTCGACAGCCAGAAAAGTATGGAGAAAAGTGCCTTCTACACTCCACCGCAATCAGAGGTAAACATAGTGTACGCGGACCTACCTGAAGAGCCTATGTTAATTGATCGCAGGTGCAGAAAACATCCTCAAATGACACTATTGTGAACACTCTCGAAATTTTAAAATATGTGGAGAATAATCGCTTCTATGGGGAATTCTTCTCATAAAAATTGTATATTGTGTGGTCCATTTTCAGAATACCGACCACATTTAATTTGCCAATATTTCGCAACGTATTCACCGCATCTGGTTGAACCTCTGTAATCCCTCGGTATTATCAATGTAAAAATAAATATTTATCAGTGTTCTTGAAAGTATTTTAATTAACAACACATAAAAATAGCTGGTACCTACTGATATTTTAGTTGCCATGATACTTACCTATATGAATATTATTAAGTAAATATTCTTAACAAAACAAAAATTTTATTTGGACTAGATAGCAAGATTATGAAATATTGGTAAGGACTACCTACGAGTACATAATAGATAAATAATTCTTTTGTGTAGGTACCCATAGCTTATGAATCACAAAATTGATTATGAAATACAATAGGTACCTACTTACATTTTTTTAAGATACACGTTAAGTAAATTTTAGTATTCCCTCTTACTGAATAGATAAATAAAATGTTGCCAGAATCCATTGTTTTTGTTTCAATCATATCTTATTCCTAAAATCATTCACTTTTTGGTATTACATTATTAATAATTTGAAATATTCTTAATTATAATCACTTGGTCGCCTCATTTGGGTGGATCATTAATATAAAAACTATTTAAAACGGCGTAGTTTTTAACAACACCATAATCCAAAACAAATATTTTTAATTCTAGTCGAAAATATGTTATTGTTATGGAAAACTAGTTGTTTTTAACAACATAATCTTCTTCAAACCTTTCTGTATTAAATTATTGTTTCTTAGTCACCACAATTGGTGGTACTCTGTTTACATTAACAATAATCCTTCGTGTCAGAGGGACACCGCATTTTTGTGGATCTGTTTTAATAGACAATATATAAAGACGAATATCTAGGTAATCATAATCGAACAGCCTCTCAAAAATCATATTACCTAATCAAAAACAAATATTTTTCAACGCTATTCGAAAATAGCTCATTGTTATGGTCTACTTTTCATTTATTTCAACAACAATAACCAGTCTATTGGTATGATAAGGAGTTATATAACTTCAAGGCTCCAATTTGTTAACTTCTCAACGCATGTCAAATACAAAAATTTTCATAATCATTAAACACGAAAAATCGCGTACTTTGTAACGTTACATAACAGCAATTTTAAATTAATTTCTGGATTATCGGCTTACCTATATCGGTAGATTTGTTACGCTCCCTCCATTTCTCCAGTAACTGTTGAACCAAAACATTGACACAGTGTTTTTGGGGGTTCAAATCCGTACAACACACTACGCACTTTTGATAAAACATATTGTTTTCTACTGAAAATAGGCAGTCGTTGCAAAAAGTATGTCCACATTCAACTGTAACGGGAGTGCTTAAGATGTTTCTGCAAAGAGGGCATATAAACAGTAAGGGTTTCTGGTCCATTGCTTGGAAAAATGCGTGACCGAACTGCCTTAATTTAAAGTTCCTACGAAATTTTCGTATTTTCTTGATTCGTTCTGTATCTCTACGAAGTATTCTACCTTCGCTCTTTAATTTCGATCTGCCGTAACTGCTTAAAGATGTCAACAGATCAGGATACTTCTTCAAGAAGCGCTCCCTGGCAAATTCACTTTGCTGCATTGTGTAATTAGTCCATAGTAGAGGTTAGTTTCGTATATATGTATTATGTATATATCGATTTGGAACTCACTTGCGCAACAATTATATTGCAATGTAACAATTTTTTCAAACACTTTTCGAGTCAGCTGGTTATGTAACTGATGTGGCCCTTCGCGCTTTCGAGGTTATAAAATCGGATTGACGCCCGTTTAGATCGTGGTCGGCCCTGCGTCGTGGGTGTCTGGGATGGTTGTTATGTAAACGCGTTACGTTGTGCACATGTAACGGAGGCGCGAGCGAAAGTTTGCACGTCCTCTCTCAATTGATGGCTGTCGGTGACTGACTGAAACTAAAACGCGGACCGCGACGTAAAGCGACAAGCTGCAAGCTGCGCTTGTTGCTGATTGGAATCGACTAAAATGAATCGATTGCGTGCGGTACTTTAAATCGATTCATCATTGACTTTTTACCCCTTGATTATTCCTTGTTTTTTGCGGCATGGATGATAATATATAAAGGAGTGTGCAATTTTGTAAGAGGACAAGTTCTCAGATAAAAGACATACAAATTAACAAAAAAATAAGGGAAACAAAAATAATAATAATAATAATAAAAGAAAATTAGTTAGGCATAAAAAGCATGGTAAAATGAAACAATAAAAATCGGTGGAAACAAAAGGAAAACTTAAAAAAAACTGAAAGTATTAGCATAATACAAGAACTTCCCCACAAAAGTTGGACAAAACTCGGCTAAAAATAATTTATGAGAAGGAGGAAGGACGAAAACCATAAACATTTTTAATCAAAAACATCAAAACAAAAGTTTGTTACAATCGATATTAAAATCGATTACGGCTTTCGATTGTTGATTTCCGATTATGAGATTTGGGGAGCTTGAATGCCGTCGTTTAATGGTGTGTCAACGGAACATAATGATTACGGACTTTGATGAGTAATTAAGAGGTCATAATATAGAGGGTGGCCCTCAAAGCTGGAACTCATTAAAAACAATTAACTATAATTTTTTAACATACAGGGGGCGAAGGTGAGTGGGTTCAAAACCCCCATGGGGTGCAATAGTATGAATGAAGAGATGCTGTATTTAATATATACAGAGAAATTAATTTATCGCCATAGAATTCCGTTTTTATGTTTTAGTGATTTTTTTTATAACGGATGTAATTTTATTTAGTTATTTATTTTATTCACTTTTTATTGTTTTATGAAAAAATTTATTTTTATTTAATTTTCTTTAAATAAAAACAATCTAATCTGAAATAGTTTTGTTCGTACAATCCCTTCCATGATAAATTCTAGATACGCCACTGTACAGTTAGAACCTACCTGACCTGGGTAAATATTTGAACCATTTTTTTTTTTCATTCTCCTTCAGAGTCAAAGCCAAGCTTCTTTCAGTATACTTCTTTACTTTATCTGGGGACCTATTTTCAAAGTATGTGAGCACTCATTTCTCTCAAGATTCTCATCAGAAATGTCATACGTCAATGTGGAAACGCTGTATTTAAAGACATCGAGGATTAAAATTATTAGGAGAATTTTAATTATCTCTAAATAAACCGAGAGAAACAGTCAGTGAGTTCACACTGGCCCTAAGAGCCCTAAAAATACAGTTTTACGTTGACGTATGACATTTCTCTTGATGGAAATGAATTCTCTCGAGTTTGAAAATAGCCCCCCTGGGGACCTATTTTCAAACCGTGTGAGTACTCATTTCTCTCAAGATTCTCATCAGAAATGTCATACGTCAATGTGGAAACGCTGTTTTTAAAGGCCTCGAGGATTAAAATTCTTAGGAGGATATTAATTATCTCTAAATAAACCGTGAGAAACAATCAGTGAGTTTACACTGGCCCTTAGGACCCTAAAAATACTGATTTACGTTGACGTATGACATTTCTCTCGAGAGAAATGAATTCTCTCGACTTTGAAAATAGCACCCCTGGGGTGTTATAACCTAAAATTATATCGTATCAGCTAGGTTAAGTAGTGAACATAAACCGTTCGATAATAAACTGATCTCTTATGTCCCATAGACTCAGAGAAGCCACATACAAAAACGCTATACTCCAAATGAACAAAGAAGAAATCTAAATAAACAAAATCACAAGCAGTAGTAGAGTTCGTCAAAAAGGAAACCGATCACAGTCCACCAAGATGCCCAATGACTCAAAACAAGAAGGAACTCTCAATTCCCGATTACAGGCATGTAAGCACGCCAAAGCACAAACCTATTGACCATGGATCAAAAACACAAACCGAAAAAGAAACTCACGATATAAATTTCGAAAAAAAAGGTTGGGAGAAAGTTAATAGACGCATGGACCGATAAACCGACGAAGTTACATCTGTATAATCGGTTTTGAGTAACTCTTTTATAGTTTATAGTTTAAAAAAAAAATCGAAATTTTCAGGAAAATTGCAACCGAAAACAGTCAAAAGAGTATTCAAACATTTTAATTATCGTTCACGATCATACAGCATAGAGGGTACCTAGTACATTAGCAAAATTTTACCCTAAGGAGATATATATTAAAGAAAATAACATCCAATATCTAATTCAATTAGGTGTTAGTAAATAAAACGTATTATATCTCTCGTAATAGCCTAGAGTATCGCAATACGTCAGAAAGATCTCATAACAAACGAAATAACAAAACAACAACCGTCGTGACAGTTCTGACGATCGTTTAATTATACAATAGATAACGGCCAGAAAAACAACCCCCGTTTACTCGAATGTCGCCGAAAGCTTCAATCACTCGCTCCTCCCTTGACGCAAATTACGGACGTCACGTCTTATTTATTGTCCTATCCATATTCGTCATCGGATCAGCGGTGGATTTGCTTTTCTTCTTTCCCAGTTTGGTTTTATGCAAGATCACGTGTTGCTCGAAATACGTTATCCAACTAAATATCAGAGACGTAGGCCTAGGGATAGAGGTACATATTATATATAAGTCGAATCAATTAATTTTATAGTAATATACGCTACTAATTATGTGTTGTAGTTGACTGTAATTACCCCCTCTTTTTTATTGTCAATAGTGTGACGAAGTCACTAAATTTTACTAATTAATTTAAAAAATGTATATCTTAATTAATTCCGGCCTGAGGACATGTGAAGATCCCCCGTATTTGCGTTTCCCAGGAATTCCCGTTTTTAAACAATTGCGAGTACCCTCGTAGGTTAAAATATTTCTATATTTGTCGAAATCCGAATGGACATTTGTATATTCAATTTCGTATCAATTATCTATTTGTATTTGTCAAGGTACTAGCAGGACATTTTTTTATTTTTAAATTGTAATCAGTCGGCTGTAGTGGTGGTATCTCTCACTCCGAATTGCCCGGCTTCGAGCTTGCCTATTGAAAAAGCATAAATAAGGTGACAAGTGAACATTTGTCCTTTTTCTGTTCCCGACCAGCGCCGTCTCTGTGAATTTCAGTATTAGTTGCCGTGCCGTTAAAATTTGTTAGTTCCAATTTAACAGTGAATTATTCCAGTTTTCTGAGGTAGGAAATTGTCTGATTATCATTTTACAATTAATTTGGGACATCCGTCCAATAAGAGTAAGAATTTTTGATTCATATTCAGTATTTTCATATCATCCCTTAGTGGGAAACCGTTGGCAATTTTTATTTGAGGTTGGATTTAGGCTAGACTTTGAGTGCTTTCAATTTCGACTCTATACAATCTCTTTTAAGAAACGCCCAATTACGCTGGAGTGAAAAATGAGCTGAAAGTGACAGTTGTCATGTTAGACATTTTAACATTACCATTTACAGTACGAAAAGATTGAGATTACAAGTCAAAATTTAACTCGTATTGGTGAATCTACAAATGGGAGGAGTTATCTCAGTTAATGACTGAACTTCGATGCTATTTCAATGATCTATTTATGTTCGCTTCTGTTAACTGAGATAACTCCTCCCATTTTTAGATTTGCCAGTGCGTATCTAATTCTGACTTGTCATCTCAATCTTGTCGTACTGTACATCATACCTTTTTTTATAGAGGTGATAAACTTTCATGAAGATACTGGAAAGATGACCCAGTTGAGTTGGATTGTAGACGGGTGGACACGGTGGATATGCCGCTGTAGAGGGATCCCAGCACCACCGCCTCCACTCATCCAGTCTACAAACTAAAATCATCTCTTGCTTTCTTAGATAGGGAATGGAGCTTGCCTTCCGGCATTAGTTTCACTCATATACGTCTGTCTGCTTATGTGTCTGTCCATAATCTTTCCTCTTCATGCCATAATTATTTTATCTATGTCGTGTATGATTTACCCTGTCTTTTTGTATGTCGTCATTAGTCCTATAAGGTATCTGTAATGTATGGAAGGTGGGTTGCCACACGGCATTTAGGCCTCGCTTGACTCCTCTTAGCTCATCAGCCATCTTACAGATTTAATGTAGTTGACAACATTGACGAGAGGTCCTTTTCTTATATCGGTCGGTGTTAGTCAAAACACGCCGAACACAAATCTTCTAATATGTGAGAGAATAGCGTAATCATCCTCTATGATATAGAGATGCTTTCGTACTTAGTAATGAGCAGTCATAATGTCTGTGATCAATCTGTCTAGTCATAATTTTATTTTTTTTTCTGGTGTTATTGGGGTAACTTAAAAGCATCCTGGCAACACGCCTTTCGTTACGACCCAGTTGGATCTATTGTGACTCGTGCCTAACTTATAGTTTACTGTACAAGCCACACACCTTTTCATGAAGGTCATGGTTGAATTTGTTGAGACTTGTTAAAAGTCGGGCTCCAGTCGGGCGAATTTGGCGATCTGGAACCTAGTTCTTTTCAAAGCAGAGTAGATACATAGGATGTGATCTACGAATTCATCTTCCACGCTGAAAAATCGACAGTCCAACGTTTTTTGCAGACTTAACCTTCTCACGTGGTTACCTAGACGACAATATCATCAGTTCTGTGAGAATAACGTTCCTACTCCATTACCGGGTCCTGATTATAGGCGTTCATTGAAGTTTTGGACATAAACACCTTTAAATGAGTTTTGCCCTTGGGTATATCTCCAGCTTATAAGTGTTATACTGTCTGTCCTTTTTGAGATAGCTCCTTTGGTATTGTTCTTTGCAATGTCACAATGGTTCTGGTCTTCTGTTCCCATTAACACATATTCGGTTCCTCTTCTAGAGAGAATATGGGCTTTTTCATTGCCCTGCACACTGCTGTCTCGGAACCCAGACCAAAGTAACACTCAAAAAGCATTTATGTAGTTTCTAACCTACTTTGAGTCAACTCGGTTGGAACTCAAAGCTTTGAGAGTTGCCTGGTTATCCGAAAAAGCAGGAAAAAAATTTATTAACTCTCCCGTTCCAAATTCTATAGCTTGGAAGAGTTCCAGGT